GAACATTTAAGGCACATTAAAGAGGGGGAGTCGTCACCTGCGCATGCATCAGATTGCCATAGCATGTCATATTATAAAGAAGCATCTACCCACGAGCCTTTGCATTTTTAGCGTGTCTTGTTATCATAGCTTGGGACTTGATTTCCGCACTTGCGCAGGTGACACCCCCCCCCCCCCGCTTTAACATGGTAGAATGTACAGTTTTCTGATGACATTGTCGCTTTAAGAGTATGCCAACTTCTCAGTAAAGATACTAAAAGAAATGCACAGCAAATGCCTGTTGGTGTCTGAAAACTGGTAAGAATTCTTTGTACATCAGCATGTTATTGTTATAAAGTGAATACAATCATTTTGTTGTCATAGTGACATGTCTGCAAATGATGTAAAGTACCTGCAGTTGTATAATAAATCTCTCCATCTTGAATATGATTATTTGCAACTTGTTTTTAATCTAGTTTCATCATGGGGAAAAAGTTATACTCCATCAAAAATGAACATGGTTGAACTCTGGTGACCTTGCCCTTTGTTATATAATATAATTCCCTTTATCATAGTTTGTTTCAATATAAATATGCATTGTCATAATTAATTTTGAATACAAACAAGTTTTGGGGTTGAACCAACAGTGGGGAATCAGTCTACCGAATGTCCTTAAAAGATGTAAATATCTTACAAAAACATTGGTGCCTTATTTGTTTAATTATTTTAAGGGACATAATTTCCAGCTTTCTTCAAAGTAATTCAGATATTTTAGTATAAAAACAAATGTCTCATTGAAAAAAAAAAGTGCTGCATTTAATTGTGAATAGATTCATAAAACATGCAAGATAACAACAAATTTTAGCTGGCTTTAGTCCAAGTATTTTGTACAGGTGTCTGTCAAAAATTAATGATTCACTGAGACAAATATGAACTGCCTCATTGTAAAAAAAAGTAAAAAAAAACACCCTTTATGAATAGCTATCATGTTGCAAGCTCTGCTTTGTGGAGGGAGAAGTCAACAGTACTGTTGCCGCCTGAGAATCTACATCTTCAAACACTGCAATCTTTGAAGTGCATTTTTAAACTAGTATTATAAAAACTCTATCATTCTGTTCTAATAGCTGAAACATATCCCTGTGAGTTTTCATTTGTCGAATGAACTGTTTGTCAAATACAGAATACATATATTTTAGAATAATTTTCTTTTTAAAATGTGGATGAAATGTTTTGCTTTTAATGTATTTTTTATGTATTGTTTTTGATTTGATAACTTTGAACTAAACAGATTTTCTATTAGCTTCAGATCTTGATCAAAGTTAGGCACCCAGTTCAAATAGGAGTGCTTATATTGATTTTCTGACATCTTGTTTTCTGTAAAGACT